TTGAGTACTTTGCAATGGCGTATGCGAATCAGGCACCAAGTTACCCTGGAAGCTTATGTCCAGGAGGTGGCTGCGGAGAACCTCCTCCTTCAGCTTCCTTCTGAGGCGGTCGCCCGAGTGAAAGCTGCTGCCACCTTGTACAAAGACCTTTTGCTTTCGTAACCATGAAAACATGGGCGCATGTTGCTTGCGCAGATGTGTCAGCAACGGATGCAGTGCCCTGGCGTTCGGGACGGATGTCCACAGTGTGAGTTTACCTCGCGGCTTTGTGGTGCTTTCCACAACAGGCATGGGCTACAAACGCTCGTGACTTCGTGAAGTCCTTGAGGTTCGTTTTCATGAGCGGAGTGGATGTATCCTTTTGCAGTTTGCTCCTCTCTTCTTCGGCAGCGGGCCGAGCTGGAAACCCTTCGCCGGACCTCGCGCGACGCCGTTTCTTGGAGCTTTCTGCCTTCGGATATCACCTAGTACACAAGACTGCTCTGCTGTCGGATGCAAAAACAGCTCCTGTTTTTGCTTTCTCGCGCGTACAGTGAGGGATCAACATGTCAAACATGTTTATCTTGAACGCCTGGCGCGCAGCTTTTTCTCTCCCACCCCCCCAGCCCGGGAGTGGATGTATCCTTTTGCAGTTTGCTCCTCTTTTCTTCGGCAGCGGGCCGATTGCAGTTTGCTCCTCTTTTCTTCGGCAGCGGGCCGAGCTGGAAACCCTTCGCCGGACCTCGCGCGACGCCGTTTCTTGGAGCTTTCTGCCTTCGGATATCACCTAGTACACAAGACTGCTCTGCTGTCGGATGCAAAAACAGCTCCTGTTTTTGCTTTCTCGCGCGTACAGTGAGGGATCAACATGTTGGGTTTGGAAGCTTAGGGCTTTGGATTTGCAGACAATGGAGATGGTGAAAACCGTTTTGGAAATTTTGATTCGAGCTCTTGGGAGGGAGCAGAGAGTCGCTCAAGTTCTCGTTGCACTCCTAAGGCCAAGCTAAGGCCTTTTTTGAGGTACCTAAAGCCTTGGTGTGGAACAGCGTTAACATGCGTTAACCTTTGCTTGCTTATCAGCGGAACTTCTTGGCAAATTGGTCCAGCACGTCATGCCCCAGTTCCCTGACAATTCCAGGTCTTGTTGACAGGAACAGTTTTCCCGAAATTTGAAACCAAACCGTTACCGTTAAGATTCGTGAAAACTGAAGAAATCTGGCATAACGCCAAACAGCTGGGCCATGTTGGGGTTCGGCAACTGCGGAAGTCGTGGGACAACTTTGATTGGCGAGGCAAATCAACATCGGCCACTTTGGAATTGAGCAACATCCAAAAACCGGTAGCACCTTGTCCACTGGTGATCAAAAGGCAAGCAAGGAATTCACATGAACATACGGATCAAGTGCGTGATGGCCATTTTCCAACGCCTTGCAGAAGTACTGAAACAAACCCGCGTGGTCCGATGATTTGGCTACAAAAAAGCTACTTTTTTGTCAGCAAAGCGAGAAAGCCATGGACATTCTTTACAGCGTGTCAGTACCTCCCTTCATGGGTTCCCCCACCCGCACTCCCACCCCCAATATCCCCACAACTCCGGGCTCCTCGCGCCCCGAAACCCGACGACCGCCACTACCACTACTACCACCACTACCACCCACCACCCACCCACCCACCCCACCCACCCCACCCACCCCACCCACCCCACCCACCCCACCCACCCTACCCACCCCACCCACCCCACCCACCCCACCCACCCCCACCCCACCCACCCCACCACCCACCCACCCACCCACCCCACCACCCCGCCTCCCGCCCGCCCCGCCCCCGCCCACCCGCCCACCCACCACCACCACCACCGCCACCCACCACCCACCACCCGCCACCCACCACCCACCACCCACCGTTTTGAAAGTGAACACACCTGAAGCATAGCATGGCCGTGAGGCTTTGTAAAGACACTGCCAGATGAAGAAGCAGGTGATTTGCCCAAAGCCGAGGCATTCGATCGCGGGTCGGTAAAGTTATAGCGCTGGCATGCATGAATCAAGACTCCCCAAGTTTACCCAGCCATGGCTTCACTGTGCCACAAGAAGATGTAGAGTACTGCACGTGGAAGTAAGGGTTTGGAAAAGGGATGCAGTCAGCAAGCTCAAGTACCAGAAGCCAACTTAGAATGCCTGGAGGTCACTTGCGAACTTCCTCCACAATCCGAACCGGATTCGGCCGAGTTGTACTGGTTCAGGTTTCAGTCGCTCAGCGTCAGACCAGAGGCAAGGCATCCCTCAGTTTGTCCATGTAAAGTTATTGACACAGCACAATACAGCACATGCCGGTTTTGGACAGCGAGTTGCTGGCACGGCAGGCTCAACGCAGATAAGGGCGGTAGTCTCAAAGCGACCGCTGACCTTAACAAAAGCCCCAAACCAAGCTGTTTGAACAAGGTTGCGTTGCGGTCCAGTAGACCTTCGTAACAAACAAAAATATGCGAGCACCGTGGCATAAGGCTGGGAGCCGGCTGTGGCTTTGACCTGAACGATGGAAGTTACCCCCTGCGCATCAGGTGACCCCTGGCTGAAAGTATCTAGCGTGACGCAACTGCGTGCGCAAGTCTTGCAGCAACTCCCCGCGCACCAGGGAAATCGGCATAGCTACTCTGCAAGTCGAGCCATGACGGACTTTGAGGCATGCTTTTCATTTGCATCATCCTTTCGCCGGAGCATCTCTCTTTCATGCTCAGCTTCTTCGCGGGCCTTGGGCTGCTGCTGGTCAATGCTTTCGCCATAAGAAGCCCGCCTTGACAGTAGACTGCCCAAGCATCTTTGAACATACAAGAACATACAGCTGGAGGAGGTTAAAGATGCGCTGATACGCGTGGTTGAGAGCTACGAATATCTGAGGCAATCCTTCTCACGCACATCGCTCAGTGGAAAGGGGCTCACTGGTGATCCCACGGGGTTCTCCATAAGAGAACTGGCTGCCTCAGCATGATTGAAGTCAGAGCTTCAGAGCTTCGCAAGTATGCACGCCCAGGTCGTCATTGCTTCCATAGCCGTGACAAGCTGTTGTGTGGGCTTTGTCCTGTACGATTTCTTGGATATCGACACTCTGCAACGCCTGGAAGAGCAGGTCTTGGAAATGCAGGCAGCGCCTCACATGGCTGATTGACGAAGTGCACTTGCAAGTCATGAGCTTTTCTGTGTAAATCCTTGTTGCGTCAGTTGCGTCAGTATGAGAAGAGCAGGCCGCGGCCCAACAAGTCGATGAGCGACGTAGCATCTTGCAGGCCTTCTCAAGATTCAAAGCGCCAGGAATTCGCTTCAATGATGTGCAAAGTAGCTTCGGGCGTACGGTGTGCAGTCCTGGGCAGGTCTTCTTCACGCGAATGCAGTCTCTAGTGTCACTCTGGAACATGCGAACTTTGCCCCGGCTGGCCTTGAAACTGTGGTTGCAAAAGGAACCTCACAAGAGCTGAGATGACCTCGCAAGCCGGTGACTGCATGCAACATCAGGATGAAGCAGTTTGGCAACGCTCTGGAGGATGCAGAAGGCGTTGAAGGCCATCGCTGCCTGCCGTTGTCATGAACATCTGTTCATTGATTGAATCCTGTAGCTTGATGTGGCTTGCAGACATGCTGACTGAGACCTAAGGTGGGATGTTGCCTCTGCTAGCAGCAACTTGGCTTGCCAGACGCTGAACTGTCAGCATAGGAATTGAGATGATTATGTAAGGATGCAGTGCTGAACCTCGATGCTCTCGAAAGCGCGCTGCTACCCCTGCATCTGTGGAAAGAAGAAGGAAAGCTCAGCCGTTAGCTTACTGCCGAATGCAGTGCTTGAGGAGACATGGTGCAGCGGGCATCGTAATTCATTAGAAAACGGATTTGTCACAAATCAACAACTGATAGAACCTGCGCCTTGTTTCGAGAACAGCGCGAGCTCGGTGGGTTCTTTTCGGTGAAGCAGTACGGAGATGACTTGAGGATCCCAGCCCATCCCAGCCCTACGGGTAGGGCCTTTCTGTACCCCTCAAGCACGCTGAAGGCTGAGAGAGCAAAGAACCCCGTGCATTTTTGTCTTGGACAATTTTGACAGTTCGTAGGACAGCTTTCAGAGTGTGAGTCAATGACACGCAAGGCCTTCAACTGTTGGCAAAGTGTCAGACTGCTACGTTCTCTTGCATGGGCAATGCGTGGGTACTGAGGCCATGAGGAGAAGGAGGAAGTACGGCACTATATTCAGTCGGTCACCACCGAAAGCAATGCCCAGGAGCAATATTTGGTGGTAATCAGCCAGTGCAAGAAGTAACTGCATTTACTTACCTGCAACGTCCTGAAGGCCCAGATGACACGACTTGCTTCTCATTGCCTCCGAGAGAAGTTGCACCACCAAAAAATGTCTCAAAAGCACTAACCGGTAATGAATCGCGCCTGAAATGGCGGAGTGTTTTGAGCATGTGCCACGGGTCGGAAATTGCCAACGCCTCCTCACCGGCAGTCACTCACTGAGTCTATGATATTGAAACCGTGAGTTCTCCGGAAAAACTCGGACGAAGCTTGAAACCTAGCTGTCACCCAGGGAGCCCTGTTGGGCACCGAGTCCTCCGATGTTCTAGGAGTCTCCAGAAACATTAGAAACATTAGTAAGCATGATTTGTTAACAGTGCCTTCGATGGCTGGGTGTATACACTGGCAGTCGTAGAGCCTTGCACCAGTGCTCCCTTCTGTGCATCACTTCGGCGCTGCCTGACTATGATGCTTTCTTCGAAATCTGTTGTTTCACTCTAGAAACCTGTACGGAAGCTTTGCACTTTGCATCGAGTGGGGACCTTCGATTAGCTTCAAACGTCAAGCAAGCTGCAGGACATGCTGAAGAAACTGCCTGACGTCGTAGCCGGACTGAAACAGCGCATGAAGCGCATTCTCGTGGGAGGAGCTGACCACTGAATCAGGAACAAAAAGGCGTGCATGTTTGGCCTGCAACCGTTTTTCCGGCCACTTAGCACACACAGCAGCCCGCATGAGGCTACAACACTCCATATGTTGGCTTGGGGACGGGGCCATGGGCTGAGCTGCAACTACCTGATCCGAAGTGCATCGCTCTGTCAGAACACTTGCAAGTGCGACTGCGTGACGTCCAGAGGCTGGTCGTGATTTTGGCGCTGAGCACGTCAGACTTCATATCGATCGTGGAGACTTGGCACAACAGTCCTCGTCGCTGCTATGCAGAATAGTAGGCACTTCCAAAAAAGCCCTGGGCCAATGAGTTGAGATCCACAATATGTGTGTTGCATGAGGACTTGTTGAATGGCAGCTTGGCGGCAAAGTTTGGGGACTTTTCACTGTGCATGGGGTGAGCATTCGATGATCTGATAAACTAGTTCCAGAATTCCAGCAAGCGCAAGCATGACACCCCCGAAGTCTGCGAGTTGCCGGACCAGCCCGGTTGCCGGTTCCTTCCAACAAAGCTGAGACTAAGAAAGTGAAAGAATGTGAAGAAAGGTGTCAAGTACTTATTGGCCGAGAAAGTGTTCAGATGGTACCAGGGCATTCAAAAATGAGGGCACCCCATGCTTTACTGATCTTTACTGTACTGATCGATCGGTGCTGCCATTGGCGGTGAACAACACCATGATGTCCACTTCATGTTCCAAAGTTCCTTCCTTGGTTCGTGAGGGCCCCAGGGGGTGAACCTGCGGAGGGAAGGCACCAGTCGATGGGAAAGAGCGGGGTGGTAGAGCCCGTTGGAAGACCATCAGTCGCATCTGTGGATGAAAATTGGGGCTGCGCCACCCATCCCGGCTACAAAGAAGCAGGAGATGATTCAGCAGATGGGAAAAGAACGACATTGCCGGTCAAACCTCTGGATCCAAGAGTAGGGAGTTCATTGCCTGAGCCCCAAGGCTGTTGCGCACGCGGAATCGTCGAAAGGATGCTGGGTCGTTTCACAGCCAACTTTCCGCTTCTCCCGAGGCATCTACTGCCAGGCGCAACTCCTCGAGTTCCTCGCCGCTTGGCGATTCGAATTTGGCGCACCTGCGACTCCTCTTGTTCTGTGTTGGGCCGGAGAAATGGAGGGCATTGTGGCTGTTCATACTGCGATTGTTCCCACCAGGCTTTCTTGCGATTGCGACGGGCTTCCCCGAACCTCCGCCGTCCCTTCCGCGTGCCGCCGCCCGGTTGCAGGAGTAGAAGTGTGTTTGACTCATGTCAGCTCTGGAAACGCGGTCGTGTGGACATCTATGATCGGAATTTTGTTTGGGAACGCTGCCCAGGACACGTCGGGCATGTTTGCTCGGTAGGGTCCCGGATTATCACAGTTTCTTTGCGTCTGGCTTAAGGTTGGATTCGATGAGTGGCTGCATTGCACTGCTGTTCTTACCCATCGTGCGGCTTGCTCATGGAATGGATATGAATGGACTGTGTCAGTCGTAGGTGCGTTGACGCTCGCGTTCAAAGTTGAAAGCTACTTGTATATCAGTCATTCCATGTCCACCAAGGTTTTGCCTCCTACTTCTAGCACTGCCGCTGATCAAAGGTAACTGGAATCAGGTTTTCTGTCTGGTTACGGTCCCAGTGCGCGGCTGAGCTTCCAATCAGCACAGGCAGTTCTTTGTGTGGACATCAGTCATATCAGTCATATCAGTCGTGTGTTGACCCACAAAAGGTGTCTCTGATGGTTCCTGGGTATATATAAAGCGAAAGCTTCGACTGCGGAGTGGGGTGATGCCAAGTTAACACTTGTGGTGAGGCTAGCACTGAAATGCGCCAGAAGTGGCTGCCGTCTCTATACAAACTTGAGCAGCACAAGGCATGCTAGACCAATCAGAAGCGCTTGGTCTGAGGGGTTCCAGTGTGTCCCACAGTTGGCGGCGACATGTGGAGTTCCTTTTATGCAGGAGGAGAATGGGGGAGATGCAACAGCTTTGTCGCTGATGCTGCATGTCGACACAGAGATGTTGGCTGGCAAGCCCTATATGAACCTGTAAAAGGACCAGCCAAATTCATCAAATTGGAGGATGAGTTCGTTGGCAGGGCGTGCTGTTTTGGGTGCCACGGGCAACAGATGATTCCACAACGGTTTTCGCACCTTGCTGGAAGGGCAGCTCAAATGCGAAAATGGCATTAGTATGTGCGGTGAGCACGCCCTCCCAAGGGCGCCGCAGATCTACATTTCTATGCCTGCAGGGCTGCCTGAAGGCTTATAAACGAAGCATTGTGCACAAGCCGTGACGTACAGCATCCGCCCCAGGCTTGACGCAAAGAAACCGACTTCAAGTTATCCACGAAGGTTTAGTCCACGACGAAGTCTTAATGAAGCGGGTGAAGACATCCCGCAATGTGCGCGGTTACTTGAATGTAGTCCATGTTGCGCCCTGCAACAGCGATAGGCTGGTGCAAGTGCCGTGATGCAGAAATTTCGGGACGTTTTCGGTGAATTGTGGCCCACGACATATCGGTGAGGCGCCCCTGGAAACACCCGATTAGTTCTGAAAAAAGGGAGTGTGGGGTTATTTGGTTCCGCGATCTCTGTAAGGCGAGATCCATCAAGGCATGGGCTGCGAGTAAACAACGTGGACGCAAAACCGTGAGCGTCTTATTGTTCTGGATGTCAACTCCTCTTTTGCATTCTGTGCATTCATCCACGATGCATGCGCGCCACGTTTCTGCGACTCGGTCGTCGTGAGATGTCGTGAGGCGGTGAGGCACCTTTGGCCTAAGCATTTCTCCTACACACATGCTTCTTTGCATATGACTTCACCGAGACGCGTTGACGTGTTCGACAAGCCCATATAGCCTCTCGTAAACCGTGGGCTTTCGTCCCCAGTCGTCCCACGGCATGAATGACAACCACGACCGACATTATTGCAAAGTTTTGCACCTGTCATTTGCTGGCGCGCCATTCTGTTAGTCTCTGCTAAGAACTCTCTTACTAGATGCTAGACCATGCTACGCCCGAGTCTCGGCAACATCTCAAGTATGGCCCCCTAAAAGCAGCCTATCTGCCAACAAGGCTTGGGGGGCTTAGCCTAGCATAGGTTAGCTCGAGCCCTAGGTGGCAGGCCTCATCCTGCACATGGCTCTTGCCTTGAGCCGTCGACGAGGTTGGCTCATCTTCACGCGCGTCTCGGCTCTGTAGGATGTTTCAGTATGTTTCAGCGTTTAAAGCTTAAAAGTTTACGATGTCTTGCGTGCCAGCCAAGTAGCCACGAATAGCCGTGCAACCGTTTTTTCTTCGAGTGGGAAATTGACTCGAATCGAGATCCATGAGCTTGAGGTGAGCCTCCGCGGACAGTGGAGGAACTCCTCGCCATGCAGACTCCGATGTCCACTTGCGCACGGTCGCATCATGAGGCCCTTTAATGCTTTGCAAGTCCAGGTCGAGGGTGTGGCTGCTTGGAGATTGGTCTGCCTCGGCTTGCCGTAATTTAATGGCGTCACGACGTGGAGGGTTACCATTTCGACCACCCGACCCGTGTCCAGATGCCCATACCGGAGAAGCCACTCGCCCGGCGGGGCAATTCATGCCCAAGCCCTTGCGCTGCAGCCGAAGCAGCAGCGAGACCCCTAAAACGTGACCCCAAACCGTGAGCTCTGCACATGGACGAAGGCTCGGCAACCCCAAACCCCACAACCACCTGTAGTCTGAGGCACATAGCAATGCAAGTTGCCTCTTCGTACGTATTATCTTCTCTCTAAATTAGGATGAGATGTGCATTGGAGGTCTCTTGTGTCTTTAGCAGCGTATGGAACTTCATAGCATGACCGCATGTCCCCATGAAGCAACCTGACGCCTACTCCGATGCCTGAGGAGGGATCAACAGCATACTTGTAGCATAGTGACTTGAGTTGCCTCTCAAAGGTGCAAGGCAAGCCAAGGGCCAAATCACCGACAAGGCTTTCAGAAAGGCAACAGGAGAATTTAGACAGAAGATATACAAAAGACAACATAGGCAATGGCGCAAACAAACTCAATCAGCCTGCCAGCCCTTTCTCGCGGACACCTTCCACTTACCACCTGCGACTGAAAGCGATGAGCATCTGTGATGAGCTGTGATGCGTGCCCGAAACAGGGTCGCATGGTTCTTGCATCAGTGGGCTGAAGCGGCCGACCTATGCTGCGCACAGGTGGACGAAAAGTTCTCTACGCATTTGTCATCTCCTTCTTTCGTTGCATAGCAGTAAGCAGCCGAGCAAGGGAGAAGGTTGTCATGCAACAGCTTGCAGACTCTTGCATGTCCCATTGCCTTTACCATGACTTCCGTGCAGGCTGCCCACCGTGGCAAACAGCAAGCGACGGGTAGCGACGTGCAACTGGGTTGATCCTACGGTCTTGCTTCTTCTGCGGGACATGTTGGCGTGCCCATGGTGCCATGCCCCTGCCATGTTCCACACCTGGACCGAACAAAGCATAGAATGGGGCCTTGAAAACATCTTCCTGATTCTTTGCGTCTTGCATAGACAAGTCTGGTCAGGTCGGTCAGGTGCCTGGATGAGGTAAAGCGGAATGTGACATCACTGCTCAGTTGCCACGCGCGGCCAATTGTCACAGTATTGGCAGGCGGGGGAGGTTCGAAATGGTAGCTTAAACTTTTCAACATTGGCCCATCTTGTCGGGTTGATTGGTGTTGGCGCAAAGTAGACTCGGCAAGAAGAATCAGCAACATTCAGCAACCAACCACTATAGAGAAGCCTATAGGAGGCAGGGCACTCCTGATGATAGCACGGCAATGGTTTTTAGAGTGTTTTTAGGTGTTCTTGCCATGGTTTCCTTTACCCTGGAAGCCATCGCATGGCCGTGCCAAGATGTGCCAAGTGCGCGCTTGCGGTTGTAGGCCGTGAAGGGAGAAAAGCGCTGGGCGAAAAAGTGGGAAGTGATGAACCTACTTGCACCCCCAAATCCCATGCAGTCTGCCAGCCTTTGCCAGCATGCTTTTCAACTAGCTTGCAAGCATTTCTGCAACCTCGCCCAGGTTTGAACACGGAGGCCGTCAGGAGGATGGACAGGTGGACGAAGACGCAGAGACAGAGCCACGCGCAGACCCTACACTCCTACACTTACGAGGGACGGAGGGAGGTATGTCCGACAGAAACAGAGTCACGGGTTCGAGTCATAGGTTCGTGGCGAGTTTGGTTGTTTTTCTTGTGCAGGCAAGGCCGGCACGTCTCAGGCCATGAACGGACCATTGAGTCTGCTTGCACTGCATGCCATTTTTTGAACCAGTGTGAACTCATTGCCCATGGACCTTTCAAGGGGAGTGCCTTTCATTCGGCGGGGGGAAATTGAATATGCAAGCCTTGAGAGTGAGAGAGAGAGAGAGAGAGAGAGGTGGTCCGCTGTAGAAAGAAAGGTAGTCCGCTGTTTGGTATGGTGTGGTAGCAGAATGGTTTTCCCTAATCTTTTCAGTTTCAATCCGGCCTCACCAGACGGATCCGCGTGTCTGGGCGCGCCCAGTGCGCTGGGGGTAGGGTAACTTCCCTACTCCTCATGCCCTGTAGCAGAAGAAGAGAGAGGTGGAGGGGTGAAGGGAGAACCAAACCAGATCAAGCAGACTGGTGATCCTCCCCCCCGCCTACTCTACCCGGTAGCCGCAGGACCTACCCAGAGGACACCACATTACTCCAGGTTTGGGTATCCATAGGACAGCCACAAGGTGTGTGAAGTCAAGGTACTTCTGGAGCGGGAGCGCAATAGTCACAACCACACACCCCGGGTTTGTTTTTTAGCCATTACTATTTTTTGTTGGGGTTGCGATTCGAGCTCTACGTCCTTGCCGTGGGGGTTGTCGTTTCCCTCTGCGGGGGCTCGGAGAAGGAGGGTGACCGCAGCCTGGGGGCATGAGGGGGACGCTGTCATCCCCAAGCCCCGAAGAAGCAGAAGAAGAAGCAGAAGGAAAAAGATGGAGAGGGGGCGCGCCTAGAGTGCTTGGGAGGGAGGAAACCCCTGACCTCAAGCCCCAGGAAAGAAAGAATGAAAGAAAGATAAAGAGAGGAGTGCAGCTTGGAACGGGGGAGGCCCGGCGGGGGTGGGGGGGGGCCTTCAACCAAAAGGGAGAACCAATTATGAAAACAAACAACTCCCATGTTCACGGCCCCGCAGTCCTGAGATGTTATGAGTCCAAGGGCGCTGCAACTTGCGACAAAGTCTTCAAACACTCGCGCGACCCTCAGAGACTTTGTTTTGCTCTGTTTCGCTTAGCCGTTGTGCAAACTTTTGTCGATTTATCAGAGTTAGCACATGTGGAACCTCGCGTAACCATGCGTAAGCGTGAGATGGCACGGACGAAGTACCTGCAACATGTTCACTCAGCACACACGGAGGATTCCGAAGTGTTGGGTATCAAGCCACGATTATCCAAATGAAGTCTTGCGCACCTGATACCAGTCTGGGATTCCTTCCAGTCGTTTATCTGGACACAGTTACACGTCCCCAGAAAGGTGGAGTAATTGAGCAGCTGTGCGCATGGCACGCCGCCTCGTTGCACCTCGTGTTTGTCGTCCAATTGTATTCATCCGAACTGCAAGCGCGATTTTGGCCGAGGTGTCCCCGTGCACATCTTTGCGCAGCTGCTTGGCTTCTTCTTAGAATTGCGCATGACGTTTAGCCTTGGACTGACAATTTTGTCATCCCATTTTGTTTGGAATTATCTGAGAAGTAGACAGAAACCTGTTATGTATGTATGATATGCATGTGTGCTAGCTGGGAGGGTGGCATCAGCGAGAATCATGAGAATCGAAGGGTGCGACTCAGAATGAGGTGTGGGAGGTTGAGGGACACAGCGGAGCCAAACCAGGAGTTCTCGAAAGAAGCCATTTTCGATGTATACAAGAGCAACAGAGGCGGAACATTTTAAGTATTGAGGCTTCTAGACAGTTTGCATGCTGATATTCAGGCCTGTCCTGCCTGCCCGTGCCGTTGGGCAATGCATGAGCAGTCAGATTGCGCGTCTGCTTTCCGACCTAGATCTTTGCTATGTGGCACGACATCACACAAGCAAGACTTGATCCTCAGGCACTTAGAAGCCGCCTGAAATGGGAAGTGGCCATCTACAAGAGACTGTGCGATCAAGATCGCCCAAACAATCCCAAACATAAGGGTGAGTTTATGAAGCGCTGCAAGCAATGCCTTCCGGCCGTTCGTCGCAAAGGGTGTGCATTTGAGTTTTCTCTGTGTTCGTTCGCAGCTCACGAACGGCGAGGAATTGTGAGCATGTTTTGAGGGAAGGACAGGTTTCCAGCGCTCTTGCCGCATGTTTGCCGGCGTATGTGGGCATGGACACTGTATCCTGGATGCCTCCCCGTAATGGAACGTGATCCCACGTTACGGGACTACCTTATCTCTGGAATAGTAGCTAGTCAGCTAGTCATCACTCCTAACATGCGAAGAAGGACCGGGAAAGGATCTGCGAGAAGTAGGGAGGCGAGGCCAAGGGTAAAGGCAAGCAGGGCGCAGGTTCATCGCCGATAGACTCGATAGACCTCTTTAGCAAGAGACGCCCGCCATGGTGCTTGTGTTAAATCCATGTACTGTAGGCGGGTGGTAAACTTCGCGTGCACCAAAGCCTCACAGGTCTTCTGGAAAGGTTGCGAGCCCGCTGACCCTCGGAAGCCAGCTGCTGAGTGTTCACGTTTGTTCACGTTGCCCTGCACGAGTGGCACATAATTGTCTCATGATAGGCACAGTTCTTGTACATGGTGTCCATGAGGCAGCATGCTGCCTGAGGCGCTGGCCAAACTATCTTCCTGGATCCCCGAATGGCCAGAGCAGATCACAAAGCATTCGCTGCCGATTCTCATGGTTGGAGCCGTGTCGCTCAGGCGGTTACACTTCGCCAAACATTCGCCTACTGGCAACCGCTGCCTCGCTGCATGCGTCTGTGACACACTTGTGCAACCATTCCAGCTACTCAAGCTGCATAACATCTAGTCAACAAGACTGAATCTCTATCAACAGCAGCACGGACTTGACACATAAGCGAAAATTGTACAGGGTTGGTGGCTAGAGGTTTCAGAATTAATTCAGGACTTAGGGATCTAGTGCAGCGCCTCCCAAACGACCCTGCAGGCTTGCCTGCGACGTTGCAGCCCTAATTGTCGGTTCAAGTCCATGCACGAACCGCTCCCGCAAGTTGATCAAGGATATATTGTGGTGTATTTGGTTTTGAACCATTTGCAGAAGCATTGAGATCGTTCAACTGGGCATGCAGTGTGGCGTTGTACATAGGGCACAAGTCCCATCTCATCAGGAGATTTATCACCGCAGTTGCGAAGCTTGCTGTCCACTATTTCCGATCATTGCCCACTGCTCCTTACTGGCTGTCATTACACGGTGCGGTCGGCCAATGTTGCGTGCTGTGTCTTGCTGGTGTCCGTGCGCGTAGAAGTGGAGACGAGCCGTTTGCACCTGCACACGTTGTGCGGTCCCTGGGTAGGAATGTCCAAGTAACTCTCGGTGTAGTACCCCTGGTCACGCAACACGTGCATTACGTTCTTACGGCAAGTTCATTCAAAACGGACGTCTCTCATTTCACCCAGGCAAAGAAAAGACCGGCCCAGGGTAGGTACGAGTGGTAGCTCATCTTTAAAACGGCTCCCCTGCCCGAATGCCGAATGCAGGTTTTGACTGCGAAGACTTCTGTGGGAACGTAGTGGAGTGGCTTTGGAGGAGCCCAGGGAGGCTGCATCATTGACCGCTAAAGTTGACCGCACTTTATCAGATAGCACATTGCTCGCACTTCAATGGCACTTTACATGTCTTTGCAGACCTGCCTAGATCTTGCATGTTAGTGGCAGCGAGTCCTCAAGGCATTCAGCCAGCCAGTCGATTATCGATTAGCCCTAGCAGTTCGCGTTAACCGTTGGCGCGACTGTGGTTGGCACTCGCTTGCCGAATGCGTGAGGGCCGCTGCCCAGTGCAACAGCATAAATCTCGGCAAAGTGGACGCAGGCACGAAAGACGTAATTCAGAAAGACACTAATTTTTTAGAGTTGGAAAGAGCTTTCCGAAGGCCCCTCGGTTGGAGCACGGGACCGCAAAATGAAGTGCC